GGGTCACAACGGACTATTAATCATAAAAGCAGCAGTTATAAGCAGGTTCAAAATACACTAATTTTGCCAATTTTTTCTTCCCCTTGTTTGATCTTACCAAGCATCTGAAGTACTTTGCCCATTTCGCCTTGCAAGGATGCATTGTACATGTTCTTGGGGAAGAAACGGATTCGTTTAGGCCTGTTGACAAAACCAGCTCAGGAGTAAATACAAACAAGCAATGATGATACCAACGTACATTGAGATTCTTCATTAACCTTAACCCTGCCAGACGTAGCACAGTCCATCAGGTAAAAAAAGTCTGATGCACTTTAATGCACCTGGCAATCAACAGCAGCCAAACAAACTAGTCATGTTGAGACAATGGGAGCTAGTCCCATTAAACAATGCCACTGTTGGATCTTGTGGTGACTGGCAACCACAGACTCCCAAGCAGTTTGGCTCTAGGGAGAGTTGACCTGTTGGATCTTGTTACACCGGGCAAGCAAGCCACTTTGACAAATGATGCAGTTTGATGCGTCTGGCAGGGTTTCTAGCCAAAGTAAGCTGGGAGTTAGGATTAATAAATGGATACTTTATGTGAAAAAATTGACCAAGTCTTAACTATCAGAAAGAGAAAGTCTAAGGTTATTGCTTTTTGGTTGGTTTTGATGACATGTATCAGTTATTGATATTGGAACAAAGTTTTAAAATTTCTCTCATTTACTTTTTTTCTCAGCCTCAGAATTCCGTTTTATAAATCTAAGACCCAGTTTTGAGGCATCTTGGCTAAGTGCTGTTCCACTTTCTGCCTCAGAAATATCAGCTGAGAGGCCACCATATGGTTCCTAAATGACACTATAGCATGAAAAGTACATGACGCCATTACGGAAGGTAAGATTTGAACAATGAGAGAAGTGTGAACTTACGAATCTATGTTGAGGTATTCCATGGCTGACTCCAGGACATCTCTCTTTGGACCAGGTGGTAATGGCTCTAACAAATAGTACATCGAGAATAACGTTCTCAAATGTTCATGTACGTCATTAATAAATGTAATCCACTGGCACGTCAACGATTAACTAGTATCTGTGAATTTTATTGCCCAAGCTCAAACTGATGCCTTTAAGTACAGCAAAATGTGCCAATGAAGAGACAAAAAACAGACAGTCTGACAGGCCGGTAGCCTACCCGACAGACAGAAAGGTGGACACACAGACAGACAAACTGATAGATGGGCCTCACTGAATTTGACAACTGATGAAATGGAAAGACAAACTGAGTTGCATGTTCACATTCATTTGAAATTGGCACTGCTGGAATGATCCTACTTGTAAAGTCATGAACATGTCTTTCTAACTCATGGCAAAAGGTTACAAATAAATACATACCATTCAGACTCATTGTGTAGACTTTTTATTGATTAATTGACAAACTAACAAACTGGTAACATGTAGTTGATGAGGCTTACTTGAGGTAAGGATCGTTCCTGATTTCAGGATGACACTCTTCGATAGTAATTCAGCATAGCTTTGTTCTTCATTAACTGACTCGGGTTTATCTTTCTTGGTTATGCTCATCTTTGCTCTGGAAGAAAGAGAACAACAATAGACAAGTTTACTTTTCAAATGAACATATGCAGGAAATGCTATGATTGTCAACTGTTTCAGCTGCAGTTCCAATTCAAACATTAAACAGTTCTTGTAAGTAAACCTTTCATGTCTTTGTGCAGTTTATGCAAAGTATGAAATTGCTATGTTCTCTAAGATGGTTTCCTGTGATAAAATGACTTTCGATGGAAGGTTTCCGGAAATATATAACAAGTAGACTATATGATAGGTCATGATACAGACATCTAGATATTACAGGAGTAACAATGCTGATTTCTTGATTCGAGATTCTATTCAGTGTCCAGTCTTGAGTGTGAGATCATTTGATTCTTGGGTCTTACCTTGGTCCATGCTGTTTGGGTTCCTCAAGTTCCTTAACCTCAGCATCCAGTGATTCCTCATCATCACAGCAACCAGTTAGTTTCCCTAGCAACGACTTGGGTAACTTGACAACACCACTGATGACATTGGACTTTGGTATCTTGCGTAGCGTGGCCATATTCCCATTGGATGGGATTGAAATTTCTTGTAGTCCAGAGGTACTGCCACAATGTGGACAATAGAGGGCTCCTGCTAAGTCCATGATACACTCACGATGAAAGTGATGGGATTTTTTGTCATTTCCTTCTGGGTTGCAGATGACCACGACTCCCTAAATAGTACAAGTGAAAATGACCATTAGCAAATTTCTCATATTTAGTTCTTTTTCGATAATATTTTGCTTTTAACTACAACATAGGTTATACATAATTTGTTTGGAGGATCAAATTGAGTGGCAGGAATTTGTGACAGTCTGTGACTGTTGCAGCACTAGTGACCTCTATGTGTCTGTGTACTGGGACAAATCAAGTGGCAGGAATTTGTGACAGTCTGTGCCAAATGCAGCACTAGTGACCTCTATGTGTCTGTGTACTGGGACAAATCAAGTGGCAGGAATTTGTGACAGTCTGTGACTGTTGCAGCACTAGTGACGTCTATGTGTCTGTGTACTGGGCATATCAAGTGGCAGGAATTTGTGAGAGTCTGTGACAAATGCAGCACTAGTGACCCCTATGTGTCTGTGTACTGGGCAAATCAAATGGAAAGAATTTTTGACTGTCCGTGACTGTTAATTAATAAGGCTGATGGCTCCAACATGTACCAAATGAAAGCCAACATTGTACATAATACACTTTGAAAAATGTGACCCATCACCACAAAATGTGCAGAAAGTCGCCTTATGCTCTTTCCTATTTTGAGGGTTCCAAAGTCAAATAATGAAGAAGATGTCAGTTTAGGGATTTGTATCATTTAGAAAGAGTAACCCGTCTAGTTAAATTCCAATTTTGGCAGGATGAAATATTTAAAAATATCATTTTTTCAGCAATTTTCACAATAGCATTATTTGTGTCTGGTCTGAAATGTTGAAACAATGTCGGGAACAAAGAATCAAAGCTGCCAGAATAATGCCACATTATCACCTTATACTTTTCCCAAAGTGTTCCATGTATTTTCAATTTTTGAAAATTCCGACTTTCAGCTTATTTTGTGGTGACCAGTCACAAATGTGGTCATTAGGTCTCTCCTCACTAAAATTATACATCTGAGGAATTCATTGAAGGAAAAAAAGATTCTCACTGTTGTGCAAAAACAGCCACATCCTGGGCAACACTTGTGTTCAGTCATCAGTGTCCTGAAATATCAATCATTGAAACACTGGACAATGTACTGAAAGAGAAGAGTAAACCAAGTACAAATTTCAACAGTAAAGATTTCAACAGGCACTTTGTGACTTTGGATCTTCCCTTCTAGGAGTTACGTACTGGCTCCTTGGTATGACAACTAATGACCTTTGCTTTAACATGAGAACAACATACAGAAAATACAACTAGTATTTCCCGTTTTAGCAATGTTTTTCTTGATCATGCTAACTGTGCCACCTCCTACAGGATAGCCTTATCCTACTCCTACACCAGATTTTCATAAAAATGCTTCTCCAAAACTTATATGTACAACTGAAAAACGACGACTGAAGTGGCTCTTGGAAAAAGATGCCCTTGTGCGGTAGTCGTCACTGAGTGTTGGACAATCAGTAATACCAATATGGTCCTAGCCTACAAACACAGACTTCTGTTTTTGGGATCATTTTTACTAACTTGAATATGTAAGGGAAACCACTTTTAAATATTTCTGGATGCTATCAAGGAGGTCCCAATATTGTTATGCTAATTAAATGAAATTAAACTTAGTGCAACCGCTACGTCAACATTTTATGTTAAACTTATGATGCTTCAGTAAGACCTGAGGCTTGCACAGTGTGAGAATCAGTTAGTTTGTCTGTAGTCGGAGCATGTACAGTCGATCCTTGTTAATACAAGGGCCTTGGGACTTACTGAATTAGCTTGTATTATCCAGACCTTGTCTTATGCCAAAACTGCCGTCCTGCTCGACGTATGCATCACCAATCGACCGTAGGTAAAATGTACACGTATACAAGTATGCACAACTTGTACCTTTCGTTACATGAATTTGATTTCAAAAAGTTCATTTAGGAAAGTGAGATGTATATGTACGGTTTAAGGAATAAAACTTGTAATAAAGAATTATTCGAGAGCTGTCACAAAGAATTTCTATGTTGGGTACGGGAACCGCAAACGCCTACTGTTCGCCTCTCTTGTGGCACCGGACACAAGCAGCTTGATTCGGTGATGGAAAAGCGCAGCGTTGTACTTCTGTACATGAATGAATTACGGACGCGCCTTTCAAAATTAAATGGGCTCGGTGATTGAAACATTGTCTTCAAAAAAGCTTGTGCCAAATAGACAGATAGATTTGCACTCAGCCAGTGCACAAAAGTGCTTGTCTTAACCGAAATCTCAACATCCGAGCTTGTATTGCGCATTTTTCCCCTCATAGGAATGTGCACAATTCATTTGGGACTGGCAAATATGCTCGTCTAAACCGTAGTCTAATCTTACCTGAGCTCGTATTACCGAGAGTCGACTGTCGATATATTTCTTTTGTGAGTGGAATATAACTGTAAAATCGGTGAATTATGCAATGATTGTGTTGGTAATGTTTAACATGTGTATGAACATTAACGTGGACCTTTGTGGAAAAAAATGATGGGACTTTTTACAGTCTTTTTGAGTATATTTCACTGGAATTAAAAATCATGTCATCACTGCTTACCTGTGCTCAGCGCAGAAGCCTCCATAAGGAACTCTGGAAGATGGACGATGTAACTTGCCTGTATTGATCTTATTTGTACACTCAACCAGCTGAAACCAAGATAAAGGAAAAATTATGGTGGATCTACTATTCGCTCTGAGTGGGAACAAAAGAAGGTGTGTTTTTACATGGAAAGGACAGTCCTTTGGCGGGAACTGACTACCTAAGCCCACAGGTTTATGTGCGGGGGAACAGTGACTATGTGTAACCATTTTATGATGAAATGCATGGTCTGTGCACAAGCTTCGTTGAAAAACTTCCCACCGGCCTGCTTCACCTTTGCTGGTGACCATGCACTTTAACTCATGCAGATTGCTCAAAAATGTTGTCAAAATTAAGATTACTAAAAAGCTAATCATAACATACTGCATATGTAGTAGTTCTATTCCCCTATGCACCATGGTGCTACCCAACTCGACCAAGAAAGGGCACAAGTTTCCTAGCCAATAGAGGTGTCTTTGGTTTGAACTGCAACTTCACTGGCTTACAACTGACTATGAAATCCATGTATTACAGTTGCATGACTACCAGCAAAATAAACGTTTCCCACCAACATGGCCATTTTCAACCAATGAGGGGGTGCTTCTGCTCAGGGAGGATACACAGTAGTTTGTCGTTACAAAGCCTGAAACCATTCTCAATTCTATCATATTTCCAAAGAGCCAATGTAGAAGTCATAGCACCAAGTATCAACTGATAGTCATTCATGACTCTAAGACAGCAAAAGTTGACCTAGATATAAGGAAGGATTCTTCAATGGGGAAAATCCTTCACAAAATGTAGGATTCTGTAGCTAACTGATAAAACTAGGTTAGGACTGGAAGTGCCATCCATGTTGGCTTCAGTGGTGGTGAAGACAGAGACAATGATGTAATGCTATGACATTAAGTCTGCACTGCTGTCTGACCTACCTCACTGTCAATAACTTCCAACGCTCGACAGGTGGATAAGATTACAGATGAAGGACCTTTCTGCTCCATGCGGCAAGAGCAAAGAGGAAGCTCAGACTGAAGGAAATTGATAAAATGGTCATATAATGTAGCTAAAAATTGCCTGAAGCAGAATTCAAACCCAGTACCTACAGAAAATCACACCAGTGCACCACCACCTGACCTAATCTGCCCTTGACTAGAAGTCTCTAAGTCTTAAAAGTAGTTTCATTTGATAATACCTTTGAGTTTGATACTGTGTGCCTTATAAAGGCTTTGATATTATTATTTGGTTACATGAGGTAATATTGATGATGTCACTCAAAATCTGTATTAATGAGAACGGGTTGAGACTAAACAAATCTTATAACACTTAATAATTGGTATCATACTATTAAAATAAACAAACTCAGGCTAACATGATCTTCACTTCTGAGAAAAATGCATCTCTGTGAGAAATTTTTAACAAAGGCACTACTTCTTGACAGAATGGAACAACCAATGACAGTGTTCATGTGTTAACTTTAGAAGTTTGGTCTGTTTTTTGGTGCAGCTATGGAAATCACAGCATCTTGCCTAGGAGGCACTATAAAAACACCTCACCTGGAGATGTTGACTGCTATTGATGTGTCCATCAAGACTACCTGTAAGATTAAGAGCAGATAATCTCTGATACTTTGATAATAATCCATACAATTCATGAAAACTTCTCCACTTTAACAACTGCTACTGATTAGTTCATATGACCTTCACTTAAAACCAACAACCAAAAATAACTTTACAAATTTCTGAGTTAAAGTATTACTCTAGATTTGTGTCAGAGCTTGGTATAAAAATAATGTCTATCTTTTAAAACAAAACATAAAAAGCAGATTACCCTGTGCTGAAAACTCTGCATCTGATTCTAAGCTGGCCATAGTTGAGGTGCTACTAGATCGTTTCTTCTTCTGACCTGGTGACTGATTTTCACTGCCCGCTTCACTCTGGATATCAGTTGAATCTGTTAAAGAAATGACAGTGAACAACACAATATTCAACAGGTGCACCTAACAGGTGTTAATGGAAAATCTAAACCTAAGAAACTTGGAATGACACAATCATAGGGAAACTCACCAGAATCGTAGGTAGCGATTTTATTTGGTGGTTTGCCAACTCGATGCCGCTTCATACCAAAATGCGTGTGTGTACGAGGGCGCTTCTTCTTCTTGATGTCAGATGGACAGGTCTCCTTGGCCGATGAATCTGGCGTAGCAGACCCAGCAGTACCGACAGGGAAATCTGCAGCAAGAGCATGACGGGGATCACAGGATGACGCTGTGGTGCCTGGAATTGGGGTGGGATTGTCACGATCTGCCGACTGTATATCACCACTAGAGGGCAGTGTTTGGTGCATGTCCTGAGCAGGTGTAATATCAGGAGGTGCTTGGCTGTCAAGTTCAGGTGTTTCTTCACTGCCACTCACGTCTTGAGCTTCAAGATCCCTACTACTGATGAGTTTCGGAGGATCATCATCCATGAAAATGTCTTGATCATCAACTTGAGATGAGTCAGGAGACTCCATCAAGTTGCTGTCTCTGTCTCTATAGTTTCTCATTTTTTCGTGTTGTCCTACCATTAGGCTATGTCCTGTACCAGGTGCTGAATCGTCAGAGTCAGTCTTTTGATTATCGGGGGAATAATCCTGAGTTGCTGTTCTTTGCACGTGTAGTTTGTTGGAATCTTTCTGATGTAAGATTGTATCTCCATCAACTGGATTGGCGACTGTCATGCCTGGTCGAAATGATGATGTTGTGACTAAGCCAAGCATAATGGCTCGTTGTACAACGGGTGGTATTGCCATTGATGCCGATTTCAATTTCTTGGCTGCGGGTAAAGTTTCAGCTGCAACAGCAGCATTCCGTTTGCGACTCTTATTAAGATCAAAAATCAATTTTCTACTTTCTTTGGTTTTTACCTTCCCTGGTTTATTGTTGGCAAATCGAACTTGGTGCGGTTTTTTCAGAGAGCCTTGTGGTGTAGTGGGACTGTTGGTTAAATTCTTTATTGTAGACCACGATTTCCGCGCTGTAGCATGCTGTTTTGGTTTATCGGGTTGGTCTGTCACACTACCTTTTATTTCCACATTTGATGGTACACTGCTTTGGACTGGTTCTGTTTTTAGAGTAGTCAAGATACCTCTTTCATTAACAAGTTGTGCACCGTGGGAATGATTCACCTTATCTGGAGCTACATGACCACATTGTTTTCCAGCCAACTGCCTCTTTGGCATCTCCATTTGAGTGGACCTTCGAAAGTTAAACCTGACTGGTAACGCAGCTCGTTTGCCTGCATTCAGTTGCATGTTTCTCTTCTGTAATTGCAACCTGTTGACATTTGGGCCTGATTTCCGGGCAGTGAGTTTTGACGAGGTTGTCATCAACTTTTTAATCAACTGTGTCCGTTTCTTTGTCATAGCTGAGGAAACTGTCTTACGAGCAGCAGCTTGTTGAGGAGGCATTCCTGTGTTTTTCATTCCTCCTTGTGGCTGAGTCATCATTGGTACTCGTTCTTCCATCCCCTTTGCTGGTGGTTTACTATTCTGAACCGAGTTCCTCTCTTCCCTCTCACTATCACTCTGTCTCTGAGGGCGCAAAGCATTCTGGGATTCCCGACCTTTCTGAGAGCGTAGATCATTTGCCACTGGAACCCTTTCTATGCTCCTTTTGCCGGAGTCTCTGAATGACAGATCCTGAAACTGTTTACGCGATGACCGCTTCTGAAGCATCTGAAAATCCAAATAAAAAACAATAATTAGTGAATGAAATAAAGCAAACATCTCCGGTGTCTCTAGGTTTCTTCAGAATATCCTGTCTCAAAACAGTTTCCGAATATCCTGTCAAGATGGTTTCTGTTAGTGGTGGGACCTCTGACCTTATTTGATGTTATCTTTCAGGTTATTACTAGTTTTCTTACTTTCCTATCTTCACCACTCACTCCAACCTCATCAGAACAAAAGACAAAACGATGGTCCGCTAGCTCTTCTATGACCTTTGACTCCACATCCTGTGGAGGGAAAGGGGACAACATAATAAAACGGAACTGTTGGGGATTCCGGCAAAAATCTGGATTTCTTTGACTTTTCTGCAGCATGTATGTGAATACTGCTTCATTAACGAATCGGGAATGACCAAAAGCCTTTCACAGGGAAAAAGACTGATTGAAAAAGAAATAAACAAGACATCAATAACCAAAGCTATGCTGGTAAAATTTTAGAAAAGTAAAGGCAGTTCTTTAAAAAAAATTTTTTCCTTCACAATTTCATTTTTTTTATTTGCACGAAAATTAAAATACATGAAAACAAATTAACTGTTGATACACAACATGTACACAAACCTGTCACGACAAAGCTCGATTTATGGAAAGAGTTCCATAATACACGGACATCACTTGATACCCTGTGCACAAACCGTACGAAACAAGTCTGAAAAATTCTTAATATTTTCTAAATAACTAAATGTTTCCATAATTTAAGAATTTGACTTTTTAGGACATGTTATCGCTCTCTGATGGTTGATACACCACTGCAGGGAAAACGTTGAGATGCCCCGACCTGGGTATGATTTTATTTGAATTAAACTGTTTTGCCCTGAAAAAATGGAAGTATTACATACAGGTCAAATGTCTAGATAATCTGGACAGTAGAAACTGTTATTACTGATCCATGCACAACCACTACGCACATCATGATTTTTGAATCTGCCTAAATGAAAAATAAATAAAACCAATTGCATACCGGCCTATACATACTTAAGATTGTATTCAACACAAAAACAGCAGTTTCCATTTACACCTTGCATTTGTTAGAATGTAAACAACATCCCATAGCATGACAAAACGCCATTACCACGCTGAACAATCCTGACAATGATGTTCATGAACAAATGGCATAGCTTAGCCCAAGTTTGGAAAGTTTTTGTGCCGACAAATGACACAGCAGGTTAATAGTAAAGACAAAAAATGAACCGTACCAGCAAACCTACCAGTCAATAAGATAGACCCTTTTGTTTACTTTGATCATATGTTCACTTAGTTCACATACATGAGGACAGCTACTTTCAGCAGGTTGGAATAAGCACAAATAATGAGAAGATTTGGGGACAATTCCGTGTGGTACGACAACTTGCATTGGGTTGTACATTGTTTGGCCACCACACGAGTTGTGTACCGGCAGATTGGTGAATCTTTTGAGCTCTTTGCAATATACAGAAATGAAATGGCTACATCTTTTAACTCGACACACATTAATCTAGGAGCTTGCGGAGTTATTTCGAAGACAATGTACCAGAAAGTGGAATTTCAGACAATATTTCGGTGAAACATCCTACCTTCCAATCAGCCGCCATGGTGGAGCCCAACTGCGCATGCGTAATTCACCCTGGCATGCCTCAGTACAGTGTACGTGTGTACCGTGGCGGACTATTTTGTCTCTGTCGGAAGTCCACAACTTTTTGCAACTTCAGAAAAATGATGTCAGATTTCGACGTTTTGGAAATTTGCAATTGCTGTTTTTTTAAGTTTACATTTGTAACACCACATAAAAACATGACACGTATTAGAAATGTACACACGCTTAGGGAAAATTAGTTGAAATTGTTCTAGGATGGTCGACCCTAATGTCCTACCTCTATGATCCCAATGATCACTTTCCTTCGCCCAATTAAGGGACTAAAAATATCGAATTTCTGGTATCATTGTTCGAAATTAACTGTTGCTAAATATGCATGTCATGGTTTATCAGGATTGTTGCTTTTCCTTGGATAACACGCTTCTCTCTGTCTTCGCGTTTGTGCTCAACCTAAACGAACATCATTAGTGTATCTTCATCCAACACATAGGCGTAGGCCTACATGATTTTGTTGGCCATTAGAGTACGACCTTTTAACCTTCGACGAATAACTTGAAAATCACTGCACACAAAAATCAACCTTCTTTGTTATCTCAAATATCTGCCCCGGTAACGCTTGATTAGAGGAAAATGTATAAGAATATCAGAGTTCCTGCATGATGTGCAGTGAAGTAGATTTACGAATGGTCTAGCGGGACATGGTGACAAAATACCGAAGTGATGAGCTGGTTTTGTTGGAACAAATCCATGTTTTTTTGCCTATAGCTTTTCCCGTGAGTATCGGCTGACCGTTTATGAGGTAGTTTCAGATAATTAATCCCAGATAGACACAGATGGTATTGCGTGCTGCCTAAATTTCTTTGTGATTGATCTGTGTTTGAACAGATCTGTATGGAAAAGAGACCTAACTAGGCCTACTCCAACTTGAAACTTGACCGCCGGAAAAATCGGTGAACTACAGCAAAATGAGTCATAGGATAACACAAAAGCAAGAAGATCTATATATTACAATGTCATTCACTCAGCTTTCAGGGGAATAAGGAGGTTCAAGTCAGAAATAATCACGATCAAGTGGGTTATTTCCAAACTGAATACAGTTGCGTTGGAGCTATCTTACTTTTTTGATGATTCCCTACGGTAAATGCCCTTCTCACGCGTTCAGAGCCGAACCGTTTAGCTTTCTAGTTATTTTATTTCACCATGATGCTTCCTTCAATTCTGTCAGATAAAAGCGGAGATCAGAGCATTTTGCAATGCCTTATACAGTGTCAATATCTGACAACTCACATTCTACTGCAGTGATTTAGATATCTTACGCTCTTTCAAGCTCCAAGGAGTTATCAGCCCAATTGTATGATGCGACCTTCATCACCAGCATGTGAAACAAAGAGACGCCATAGAGAAAACCTTGCCCCCGGCCAACTTGGTTGATTATTCGATATTTATGAATATACAACATTTAACAAAGCGGGTGTGATATGACAAAACATTTTGAGACCGGTGTCACGAATGACCTTTATTCCATAAGTACAATGCACACACAGTGTACATGTACACGTACGCGTACATTAGTCTATATACTGTACTGCACGCAATTGAATGCAAAGCAGATATCGCAAATGCGCCTTGTTCAGTGTATCATGCGGAAATGCGCGATGGACATAACAGATTCCACACTTACATAATACTCTCTACTACTTTTTAGTCCATGCACCAGCCAATAAAAACTGGGTTATTTCAATCTTTGAAAAGGTTTAATATCGTTTCATTTCTTATTTTTCGGCAAGGCAAAGAGAAACACAAACAGTCATGCAAAAACAGAAAGACCGTATAATTCAACTAATATGCCGATGGATACCCAAAGACTGATCCAAAGCACTATCAATTGTTTCTGCGAAATTCTGTTCTAATAAATCTAAGAAATAAAAACAGACAGGCAAACAATAAGTTAAAGGTGTGAATTTATGAATTCTTGTTTGGTTAGTGGAGAGTGGGAAAACAGAATAGGCCTATGGAACATGATAGCTTTTGTACCTCTGAAGTAAGCATGCATTAGAAAAACGTACATATTGGCATTTGAAATACATGACATGATTACGATGTAACATCCCAATGACACCCCATAAAAGAAAAGAGTCTTGACTCGGGATAGATATAAGAATCGTCAGACAAAAGTCAAGAAAAGCTACCTGAAACATTTGAAGAAAACAACAAAATGCTGCGATTCTTTCAGAATGTTAAGACCAAACGTTCTGAAAATCTTGAACGTACTACATGATTTTTTTCGTAGGGTTTGGGGGTCACGGTGTGTGGATAACTTCCATTACCTTACACAAAGTTGCTTGAAGAAGCAGGAATGAGTCATAACTGTCGGGACAAAAGTCAAATATTTGTGGATTTTCAACTGCTAGGGGCTTACTGCCTTTTTAGACACTTACCTGAAGACGTTTACACATTTTCAGGGAGTGTTTCATATTGATTTAAGTCTAGCTCTTTAAATGTTATTTTGTAATTTAATTTAGTCAACCATTCACGAATACCTGATCCCTACAACTAAAAATATCACACAACGCTGGAAGCCAACTGCGTATCTTTGCTTCAGCACCCGGAAACGCATACTGCGTATCAGGCCCTGTTGACGTCATCACGCAAGGTGCATGACTGGCCAATCAGAAGCTTCACTGATGCAGGCTAATCAATATCCGGCGTATTGCTCACGGTTTCAACAATATCAATCCGCTTCTTTGTCAGGCGCTGATGGTAACCTGGATGAAGATTTCATAGATTTCAATTGGTTATGGTTTCATATTCATTTAATCGGAAACACTAGTCCACGAGTGGTAGATTTTCAAGAAAAAATAATTTTCACCCAGTGACCGAAAAAAAAAGTTTTGCTGTTTTTTTCCTCTGGACGTGGGTATGTACGTGGTACGTGCCACCTGTTCATTAATGGGAAACTGTACACGAGCTGGTTTGCAACTCATAAACTGACGTAAGAAGCAATGAAAATAAGAATGGTTGAAATCAGTGACATTAATGAATCGCTGAAACGACACTACTGGGCTTTCACCCCTTGACCCGTATAACTACCATTTCAGTGGATGCGTATAACCAGCCTAGGTCAACTGGAGAGTCTTCAAGTTGGTCCTGTTATTCACCAAGGCGACGTATGGTATACGCTCTTTGTTGATTGTGCAAAGCAATTAAGTACTGGAAACTTTTTAGCGTTACTGCTGCTTACCACCACCAATCATAAAACGATGACTCATAAGTTCGATGGATTTTTAATAGGTGTATATCTAAAACAAAGACATGGCAACATATTAAGTAGGCCTATATGGGATTAAATCGTCTGGCTGAGTGAATATCACAAAGCTGGCCATTTCAAACCATTTGGAGGTGTTATATTGATGCTCATAAACAAGACATCGATCGTATAATCTCTAACTGTAGATAAGTTGAAGTAAATTGATGCTCAGGCCTCGCTATCGATAAATTCGGTTTCAAATTCTGTGATTAATTACAAACTTTCGTCTGAGGTGTGAACAGAAGTCCTGCAGTGCGTCAAGTTGGTCGAATAGAACACAAATTACTAATCGATAATTCACCAAAATCATTGTGACACTGTATTACTACCCGATCATGTGGTTTTACCTGCATGGTGGCGAAGCACTTTTCCAAAGATTTCTGTTTCGATTCCAATAAAGCTGTGTAGAGAAAACGGAATAGCCAGAAAACGTCCAATTCGATTTACAGCGTCTAGCTAAATCTGGCACCGAATATTTTCAAGTGAAATCAACAGAGTCCGGATAGGAACCGTAAAAGCCAGACTATGCGCATATTTCGATAATGCTTACGTAAAACTGGTGAGAATAGACGCCAAAATATCAGAAATTGATCTGTTAAGTATAGTATAGACAACAGTGTTGACTGGTGTATACAATAGTTAGGCTACATTATGGACAAAACCTGGGGTTTGGTGAACTAAGAGCCATTTAGAATCATGACCAACTGAAAAATAGAGCAAAAGAGGGCATCAAATTAAACAAAAACAAAAGCCGTTTGGACTGATCAAATGCTTTTGCTGAGAATTTAATCTGCAGATCACAATTTCCTCGAGCGACCGTTGCATGGAATTGGCTTTAAAGCGCGGTGTGGATGGTACCCGCACTGCATAAATGGCTCAATGTCCGTAATATACAGCTTACAAGTTATTATGTAGTCTGAAGGTCATGGCGTTTATTTGGCTAAAACAGACGGATAGTCACAGCATTAAAAAAGGCTTTCCATGTTAATGAAGATTAAATCGCAGCTCTTCTTTGTATAAGAAGTTTCTACGGCTTCTACAATTGATACGTTAACTGTGGTTTTCACTGACACGTTCCTATTAAACGTAACAGGTCTTAATCCTCAAATTTCAATATGATTTACATCTAGCTTCAATCCAATGTGCCATGACCCCAAATCTTAATCTCTTCGTCTGTGAGGCCACCAGCGAAGTGGAACCCTTCATAAAAAGAGCAATGATCTGACAAAGCCAATAATGTATTTTATACGACAGAACTGTCACACAATCATGTCCCTGAAGTAAAGTACTCACCGTGACGCAAGGTTAGTAGGCAAAGTAAGGTTATACAGAGAAATACAAACATTCACGATAGGGAATAACATTGACCTTGTAAACAAGAACAATTACAGCATGCTCAGCTTAGAACTTAACGCACGACTTCCACATTATAGTGCAAGAAATTCCCACGATGCACATGATATAATACACACAGGTAACCAGTGGCGTAAATGGGGGGGGGGTTGAAGAAAGGTGGGATGACATGAAAATTTGAAATGGGGGGACAATACGACTCTATGATAGAGATCGGTGTTCAAGATATTAATGTACATGTGTATTTGTGGTTTTTTAAATTTGTTTTTCCCTATTTTTAGTTATATTGAATACATTTTAGTAGTTAAGAGGTCTGAAAAATTCTTTACAATCCACTTAAACGTTTTCACCACGAAAAAAGTGGGGGATGATCCCCCACCTCAAAAGTGCGTGTGTGGGGGGTATACCCCCATTCTCCCAAGATGTACGCCCATGCAGGTAACAGAGATTCAATTAAACATGTTAATGTGTGGTGAGCATCTAATATTAACAGCAGCTTTGTAAAACACGCTTGATCCTTTCTGAAGTAGTGATGTCCAAAGACATACAAAAGAGATAGAAGGACAACCTACGCTGGAGGGGAGGTGTCTTGTCTATTGATCAACAAGCGTGCAATATTCACCGTCCCATTCGCATTGCAATCAATTTGGGGAGATGAGATCTGCACGGTAATACAAATTAATTTATATTTCACTGCGCCAACGTATATTAAGGTAGACTCGCTTTAGCAATTAGTTAAAATGATAGCTTCCAATGCAGCGCTACAAAACGCCCTTGTCAAGGGCGCCATACACAGTTTCCGAGAACACGGGAATATTTCACAACCTGTACGGAAAACATCCTACATACGTAGCATCAGCATATGTGCAATGCACGCCAAACGGCAAATTAAAACATGTTCATGTAATAACAAAAATAACATAACCGTGACGACCGCAGCCGTGCACAGGAACCTTGGTCCGATCAAAAACAGGTCAAAGCAAAAAAAGGGCATTTTTCCCTATAAGGCCCAATGTTGTACACATTGTTGGCAATTATGTCAAAAGTTGTACTTCTACTCAACCCACGGATCGACAAACAAATTAAAATATTATTTTTCTAGCCCTTGTGATCGATCATGGCTTTTATTTAAACAGTAATCGCTTACACTAATTACTACCATAGTAAACTTCTCGATATATGTTATTTACATGGACGGGAAACGACAAGAAATCTATGGTCTGTTGATTTTCACATCCTATTCAGTTGGGTGACTTTCTCTTGATCTGGATTTGTTTTACAGAGTAACGTCCTAAGCAAGGTGCTTTCGACTAACAATGCACAAAACATAAATGACGTTCTGCAAGCAACAATCGCTCGACATCCAGCATCGTCATAGTTGACCCGAGAGTCACTGGAGGTAATGAATCGAAAATTTAACGACGCAAATCGATTCGTAAGCAAAAGATCTACATAGAAGCACCAGGACATTGTGTACATACGGGGACATACTCGGATCATCTGTGTGCTACGGAACCCAGCTACAGCTATTCCACGACCGTTGTATTATCTAGCAGCGTGCTTTGGCTGAGAATATTGATCGGTCTTACAGACAGTATTACCGATAGTCATAAGCCATTTCCACTTTTAATTAATCCCGGTTGCACTTGGACTAATGAATAGAAACCTTCTACGGGTAAAACGCATCTTTGCATTACTAATCTTGGTATATGAAAGGGAAAAACATAATTTGACCTTATCGATGTATTTGTGTAGTTTGTGAAGACTCTCATGGGTTTGCTGTATTTTCCCAAATAGTCAATTTTGGGCTTACACTGCATTAAAAAAGACGTTAGATTTTTGCCTTTAAGGGGCAGTTCGTGCGATACAACGGCTGAAGTACAGTTCTTGCCGAAGTTTTGGCACGATTACAATAGCGGACGACCTGTTATGTTGATTTACAATATGAATTCGCCAACGAAAAAAACCTAGACCAAGCGAGAAACGTAGCAAACTAGGTATATTTAAATGAGGTGTCGAATTCCCCAATCACTCCTCTCTGAACCTCGCAAACAAAAATATTATAATACACCGGGATGGACGATTGAGTAAAAATCAGTTTTCCATATCGATTGAAGGTTATTAACAAAGTACAAACTTTATCGAATACACGTACATGTATATCGATAGATTCAGTTCCACGCTGACCAAGACCAAAGCCAACAGGAACGGGCTTCAAACTTTCGTACGGTGTCTCTTTCATGTGTTTACCTATCTATACGCCGGATGTAACTATAGGGTTACAATCCTCGCAAGCACATGCATATATCGCATTAAGATCAAAACTTTGATACAGTCGATTGATATTAATCACAAACTTCTTCCTACTTAAAACTCATTTTGTTAAATTAGATCTGCATTGTTTGCTTTAAATTGTGCATTTTTTTTAGAGAAAATTAATACAGTGCAGTGTACACCACTTAATTTGATTAAAGAAGTACGTGTAGTTAGGAATTAGTTTAACAAATCTAAAGCCTTCAATACCATATTTCTTCGTCCCATTCCACACGAATTATTACCAACCATAACCTTCCCAAACCCTACAAAATCCAACACTGGGTTCAGCATTTTTTTATGGATTTTATCACAATCGGTTGGGTTCCAAAGAACATGCAATGTGCCACTATTTGACTGCATTGCATTTTTTAAAATAGATTTGGGAAGACTACTGTCCACAGTTTTAGGGATTACAGTTGAAGAAAATCAATACCAGGAGATAAGTTATTAGTAAAAATATACAACAGATTGTACCGATTAGTAACATACAGTATTAAGTATCTATACACTATAGCTTGAGGATGTGGAACATACATTCATTTAACACTACATTTCAATGCTGCATTCTGCAATTGGGAGACACATTTCTTAAGTAACATGTAGCTAGATTTCCACAGTCTCAACCTTGTTCACTGCTGTATCTTTTCAACGAAAACAAACATTTAAAAAAATATAAACATGCTACATACAAGCCACATAGCTTGGCACTGAGTAATGACTATTATGAAGAAGATGCATGTAGTTTAGAATACTCTATGGAAGACTTGGTTCATTTTGGCAATAGATGTTCAATATGTAAAAAAAAAAAATAAACAGCATGAACATTTTGGTAAAAATTACTTATGAAGTGATTTTTCTTAAATTAAGGTCCCCAATTATGAAGGTTCAAGCCACTAAATACACACCACTGTAACTTAACTTTACATAATGGAAAATATTGAATACAAATGTTGTAAATTCATTTTGGGTGCAAATAGCCTTTTTTTAAACAATATAATAGGTATTATGATAGACACATTCAGGCAATCCTAAGAGATGCCATTAATGTAGGAGTGCTATGAGCAAATTCTTGAGGTACCCGAGTATTCAGGCAAATAGCAACACCTGATTGGTTGAAGAGGCATGTAAGGTACATTTCCCATATGTACACTTGCATTGTGCAAACACAATAATGGCTTCAAATTCTGGTAGATAGAATTAGACTTTTTCACAATATCAACTGTATGTTAATGATCTACATGTATTTTATAATGAATTCATTGACAGTATTCATCCATGAATACAATAATTTACATTGAATCTGACAAACTCCTTCAGGTGCTTACTTGTTCTCAGCTTTTGTTTGACGGTGTAATTTCTTTATGGCTGAGGACTTTGAGTGCGAGGGCCAGATTCTTAAATAGGCATGGTGGGTGCAGGACCTTGGGTCTATGAAAAAATCGGGGGTCTGGTTTCTGCCCTTTCACCAGCTCAATGAAATCGGTGTTGGTACCTGGGGAGGGGTATGACTTATGAAACATCGGAGGCTGGGATCAAGTAAACACTTAATTTGGCCTATTGCAATATGTATTGTAATATTTTGTTCATATCAAGACATTAGACAACAGTTTTCTTATGCCTACATCTTGATTAGACATGGATGAATTGTTACATAATTCACTGTCTTTTCCAAGAAACTTTCATTGCTATGATACACAAAAAGCAGAGGAAGAAAATTGCCTTGAGAATATACATCAGCTGCAATAATATCTGCATAGATTGAGAATTGGAAGGAAAAAATTGCACAGATACACATCTTGAGAAAAACACCCGCTTTGAATGACAGTACTGGGCATCAAGAATTTAAGAATCAAAATAAGAACGTTAGAAACCACAGTAAATGAACAACTCCTTCGCAAGATAAGGTTCATTCTGAGAATTGTAAAGAACTTCACCATTCCTGGGTGAAAGAGTGAACTGTTTGGATTAATAATGTATGGGATAGACCTGGGAAAATGAATTACAACAATTGTTGTACCAAAAGGATACTAACAGTTGAACATACAAACAGGAAAAATACAAACTCATGAGAATTTGAGAGGAGAGCACTTTGTGGAAAGGAAACATTCAAGTTACAGTCTAAGCTGGTTGGTACCTCTGTATCGACAAATATAAGTATGATCAACTAAACACTTCGGATCAAAGATTTTCACACCACTGCATTGCTTTCTGGAAACAACCCTTGCCACCAATACAGAAGATATAACCAATGTCAAAGATGGGCAGTCCTTACAAAAGTATGCTGAAAGTAACCAGTAACAACAATAAATTAAAATCAAAATCAAAACCACAAACAAACCTCCAATACGAAAACTAAATCTGGTAAATAGAGCTCAGTTCAGCCATTTGAATCTGGTGCATGTAGAAAAAAAGCAGCCTAGAGTGATATGGTATGCACCTGTTTATCACGCCCCTTTCCTCTCAACGTCTCTGCCCCTGTAGTTGGACCTCCCCCTCTTCGTTGCCCATGTGTGTTGTTTGGTCCCGGCAGGGCTAAGGTACCCGGCTCTTTCTTCACCAGCGCTCCTGCGTTGACGTTAGGCCCTAGCTGGTTCCCTGCCTGCATCCCTGGTTCTTGGTCAGTTCTTGCTCCTCGCGGGGGTGAGAGAGGGTGCTGCCAGAGACACTCAGAGTCTTGCTTAGTGAGAGCACAACAGGACCAGTGCCACTTACCCGGGTGACCTGGGTGTCCATGACCACATCCTCTGAATCCACCTGTCCAAAGGAACACAGAGGATATTGTGATCAAGTAAAAGTGATAGATGCTGAGACAGTCTGCACAGCAATAGTTGATGGTCATGCACTGATTTAACATTAAACTGGTACTCACTACGACTCTTTAGACAAAGCAACAAACAAAAGAAAGTGATGTGATATGTCAACCTGTGTACTGCGCTGGCATCAGATTTTGAGTTTGTTACATTCTAATCAATTCTTACCTGGCATTGTAGCGCCGCAAGCACAGGTAGCTTGTCTGCTGCCCTCACTTGAGCAGAATGTACAACAATGCCAAATTCCAGTGTGTTCCCTCCAACCTTCATGTACGGTCACCTTGAAGGGACTACCCTAAAAATTGAAAAGCAAAACACATCAGTGAATTTCAAAGTCAAGATCTTTGCTTGACATCCTAGGGTACTATTGCAGTGTTGTGGACAAGACCATCACCACCAAAAGTCTTTTCACAAGAACAATCACGAGTAAATAGGTTGAACAATGACAAAGGAATGCTTTTGTTGCAGTTCATATGATTTGTATGTGACTTTATTTCTGACGGAAGGTCTTGTGTTGGTCGTGTGTTGGTCATGTTGGTCTTATAATGGTTTTGTGGGGGTCTTAATGTCTTGCTGGGTCTTGTGATGGTCTCATGGGGTCTTGTGATGGTCTCATGGGGTCTTGTGATGGTCACATGGGGTCTTGTGATGGTCACATGGTGTCTTGTGATGGTCTTATGGGGTCTTGTGATGGTCTTATGGGGTCTTGTGATGGTCATATGGGGTCTTGTGATGGTCTTGTGGGGTCTTGTGATGGTCATATGGGGTCCTGTGATGGTCATATGGGGTCTTGTGATTGTCATATGGGGTCTTGTGATGGTCTTATGGGGTCTTGTGATGGTCATATGGGGTCTTGTGATGGTGTCATGGGGTCTTGTGATGGTCTTATGGGGTTCTCTTTCAGTTACATATTTCCTTCGAATGAGGCCCTTAGTGTATTTACCAAAAAGAACATGACTACTGTAAAGACATATTGGTAATGAACCAATGAAAAGATCAAATCTCAACAACGTTGGCTAAGTTACCGGATACATGTATGGAAGGAGAAAGACAGGAGATGTTTACATCAGATTTCATAAAATACTGCTTTACACAAAGGTCTGGACAAAAAAAAACAAAACAGCTAGACATGCCTTTATGTGTTGGCCGTCTAAGAATACGCTTAGGGTATGTGTAGCATGGATTTGAGGAGTGTATTCAATGCGGTAAGAACCGTCATCCTCGTCAAATATACTGCAATTCACAACCCTGATGGAAGCAAAACAAAATAGGAAAGAAAAATAACAAAAGTATATTCAACATATTGTAGCAGAACAAATGCAAAAAGTATAGAAGTGCCAATGCAACAGAACGGGAATAAACGAGGATCCGTAGAGAAATGAAAAGCAATGTAAACATCAACCTAAAAACTAAGCAAGTAAACAAAACATGAGAAAACGTATAAAACATATATCCCAAGTGTTGAAGATGCCAAATGAAAATGAATAAACTAAACAAATATGGCCACATACTGATAAAAAGAGAACTGTTAATGAAGCAACCTGCTTATACCAAGAAAAATTGAATGTCCCAAGTCTCTACGTTCTTTGTTGGCCAATACTGATAACACAAGGCCCCTGTTATAACAAGGTAATTTGTTACCGGTAAGACTCAACATCCAAGGCCCCTGTTATAAGAAGGTAATTTGTTAACAGTAAGACCAAACATCCAAGGCCCCTGTTATAACAAAGTAATTTGTTACCAGTAAGACCCAACATCCTTCTTATAAAGGTGTTTGACTGTACTGCAATAGTATTCTCAATACCAATGTGGACAAAAGTAACTTTGTAAACAACTTTCAAAGGCAAAATACATGTAAATGTTCCACTAATTTAAAATGAAATACTCAGATTTAAATCAAACAGGGGAAACCAATGAAATCAACCTCTGACAAAGATTTTTCTCAAAGCAACCAATCACAATGCCCATTTTGCAATCAACGTTATTTTAGCACCTTGAAGGACCAAGATGACTGCACCAATGCATCTGGTCATTGGTGCACCATGTTTCATCTGATTGTACACACAAGTTGGTATCATCCTTATTTCCTTTACAGACTTACCTGTTTCTAACAGACTCCACAGCCAAAGTTGCGCGTACATCTTCCCCTCCTTTGTTGTAGGGTTGACCATCGATGTCTTGAGTGATGAGAAGGAACTCAGATATCATACCTTGTCTTGCTTCATGAACTCCTACAAGGATGACATGAGGAGCACATATTAGCAACATCTTGAAACCTGGTGCAAAGTTTAGACAGAAAATGGTCAGCTTCTTGTTTTCCACCATTGTATACGGACAATACAATGACAATTTACTTTATCAAATCCAGACATGAACTTAAGATTTGAATGATTTGACATACCTTCCCCCATCACGTAGCATTTCATTGGATCCAGTTGTTTGACTTCTAAGACACCAGGCACTTCATATCCATTCACTTTGCCAGCTTTAGCCCTTGACTTGAATCTCAGCATGTTATCAACTCCAGGAGTACATTGATACGAGACTCGGTTCAGCTCACTAAGACGTTGGCCAAGGGTTGGCTTCAAGGCTAGAACTTCCTGGGTGTTACTCTCTGACAGAGCATGGGTTGTTGTATTACAAGAATGCTGCATATCACGTAGGAGCTGCTGCAATTGCATGTGATGTCCTTGGAGGGACTTGATACGACCTTCACAGACCTTGGAGACGTGGCTAAGAAGGCTTCGACGGTGTGCCTGTAATGCTTGGATGTAGTTATCAAAGTAGGAGTTGATATCATGGTGGAGTTCGGTAGACCGGTCTGCGACAGACACCTCGGTACGGTTAATGGAATTAATTCCACCACCAATGGCCTGGATGTGGGGCTGAAGACGTGCAACTAGGTTAGCAAGGACACGCTTATGATGCTGTATGACATCCTCAGAATATTCAACCAGGTGCTCTCGATGCTCTACAAGACAGCAATCTCGGCAGACAGACTGATCACATGTCTCACAGTACATCTTCAGCTCTTCCTGGGGATGTTTAAGGCAGATGACAGGACAGCTTAAGGATGCTGCTCCATGGCGACGGGCCTCATGCATGGAGAGGACAGTGTGGGTTGCTGTCTTACGTTGTCGCTTGTGAGCTTGAGCACAAAAGCCACAGACATTGACCATACATTCCATACACCTAGATACTGCCTTGGCGTTATCCGTGCAAAGATCACAGACGGTTTCTCCCGACTCTGGCTTTAAAGATTCCAACATCAGCTGCTTCTTTACCATAAAGTCAACAGGAAGCAACTCGGGACCTTTACACGGAAGATCAACCTCAAGATCACATGTTGGGCAACGGATAATGACACTATGCTGGCTGCTGCGTCCACTTCCTAAGCTACTCAATGAACTCCCTGGACTGCTTGGGTCCTCTCTACTTGACAGGTGTGGTGACAGGGTCTTGAGACAAGAACTACAGAAGGTATGAAGGCAAGGTAAAAGACGAGGATCAGAGTAACGTTTCTTGCAGATGCCACATGTCTGCTGGAGGTCTGTTTCCATGGTGATGGGATGTTTGGGCGTGCTGAGAGGGGGCGTGGCAGAGGCGGATGGAGTAGCTGATGAGAGGGACTCACTATCTCCACTTAAAGTGTCAGACATGTTGCCTGATAGCTACTTTAAGTCAGGCTCCAACAACCAACATGATGAACCTGTTGAGGAAAAGAAGAAAATTATCATCCACAAAAACCTATATCAATAATCAGAAACTAATGAGGAATTTCATCTCCTGATGAGGACTTAAACAAGCTACACGCTAGAAATATCTGCCGATCAGTAGATTAAGCTGTACTAGTGACTGAACCTAACAACTGCCTCTAACAACAATAAACAACTGTGTAGGTTTAATTTTTTGAATGGTTTGGCAAAGGTCCAGGTAGTTTAACAGTGTTTGGAAATAGTCTCCTCTTTTAACTCTACAGTATCATCTTGCCATAGAGGAAGAATACAGAAGTCGCAACTCTGGCACTTCAAAGTCTTTGATGATTGTCGCTGCCAATTGTCAGATGAATAATAGAAAACATTCCAATAATGCCGAGTGGGCCTACTGCCTGCAGCTTAGCTGGACAAATTGAGCCAGAAATAACTTAACAAAACTTGTAGTGTAGTGTTTTGCTTGCAATTAAATAAAAATCATTGCGGTGACCAGGAAATAAAGAGAGAAAAATCCCTGATGTTAGACTTGCCGTACTTTAACCATCTTCAATAAACATTTTTATATTCATATACTGTTCAATAATCCGTGCAAATTAGTTTCTAATTTTATTCTTCTCCAATACATCAGTTTTCAAAGAAAGCGTTTGTTAACTACATCAAACCAGGTGGAGTTTGCGCAATGCAGGACCCGTTGCTGTGTGATTTTTCATGATTTTCCGTTTTCAAATTCTTCAAAAATTAGTATCTTCATTTACTGGACACGTACACCCACAGGAATGACTGTCAGGTGGCTACTAATCTGACAGGCAACCTCCATTGACACGTGAGTATTGCAGCCATGCCTGCCGCGCAGTAAAGAGCCCCCAAAATTTGTGGTGTTGCGGTAGGCCTAATGCCGGTTTTTGTCAAGTGGTGTCCAGGCATCAAACTCTTCCGAAGTTTTTTTTAAAATAATGCAGAGATGTCATAATTCATCTCCAAAATTTCGCAAGATAAACAACAGTTACCTAAACATCGATATTACAAGTTTCACACCTGAAAAAGCATGAAAAGTCGTCTCTCCATTCGTCGTATCCTTGGCTTCCAGTTCCCCAATCTCTGTGATCTCTCTCACAAAAGAGTATTATTTAATAAGTCTGCTACCCACGCCACAGCAGACGATAAACACGTTTGCAAATCAACAAACATTCCGGTGAAAATGGACAGGGTACAAGACACAATGTGCGACCTCTTGAGGGTGCTATTTCAGTTTATCGTAGGGTTATTTTTCATCGTAAGTTCACGTGTTTGTCGTTCTTGTCATTCTTGCATGTCTGAAAGATCACTAAATAATTAAATGCTGCAATTATTTAGCAAAAACTTAAATTTCAGGAAATGTGTCACTACAAGTAATGAAATATTTTGCTCTTTGTTTGTCGGACGTGCGTCAAGACCTGTAATTGGGCATTCAATTAGCCGCTGGCCTTCGCAGCTAAGAAAGATGAGTGACGTCTCATTGGATGCAGTTGAAGACGTTGACATTCATGATTCAGGGAAGTTCAAGTACATTCTCATTAAAATATGGCCAGAGGGCGATGAAAGCAACTACAAACATATAGTGAGAGGCTACAAATGGGCCGGATATCATGGTAGGCCTTTTTCTTAGCGCAACATACGTATGCATACCGAGGTTATATGCAATCACACGTATGAAGCCAAAACGATGGTTGTGCCTGTATTGTGCATGTTCAATGTGTACTAGACACGCATTGCAGCCGTTCAACGGTATATCAACAGTAAAAACACCGCCAACTTGTGTGGTAGTTAAGCGGTTACAGCATAATGGTTTGTGATGCATGGTGTGGGTTCGAATCCTGGGTTGAAAGTGTGGACAGTGAGGGTTTTTTTAAGGAAAATAAAGCCTGAATGTTATTAGGAGCCTAATTTCACACATAAAGTTTTTATGGTTGGTTGAGCATCTAGATATCATGCATTGTGCATGGTTGTGAACCGTGGTTTGGATTCATATGTGTGATTGCATATATAGCTCTAAGAATTGGGCTAAGTACACAAATAAATTCCAGCACTAGCATGACTAGTGCCTGTGGCTTTGCCAATGTTCAGCTCATCGAGTTTGACCTACTCAAGCTGCATGAGTCTGCCGTTGTGAGGGTAATTTTGCATCATGGGATTCCATGTTGATCTTGGCACACTTGGTTTTTCTTCTGGAGACTAAAAGGCACCTTCGTCATGCCTGTGATGTCACTGTGTCATGTGATGTCTTGTTTTGGTTTCCAGAATTGAAGTAGCCTGGTTCTATTTAATGTGAGGTACAAGACAAGGCTAATCAGGCTCGATGTTTGTCAAAAATAATATAATTTTTTTTAAATGAAGCAAGAATTTGCACTGGACTTCAAGTAGCAAATCTTTTCATTCAAGTGTATGCTTCAGCCCTCATCTTCCATGTAACCACTGATGTCCCACTTGTGTTCAAATGGGATAAACAAGTTGAAATCTCATTGAAGTAGCTTGCTTTCTCTCATTCTGGTTGAATGGATGTGTATTATTTAGCTGAACCGTTTTACTTGTCATTCTATTGCAGCTGACATATTTGATCAGTGGGAACCGAAGCTTCGATTGCAGAAGATTAGCTGTTATTGTGAGGGTGGTGGACGGATACAACACGATCCTCAAAACAAGACGATATTGGTCTACGGTTACTCAATGGTAAATGCAATCCTAGGATATTTTACTGAATTCCCTACTCAGAGTTAAATAGAAAGTTACTCAAAGGAGTGTATGAAACAATCCTGCTTGAAGCAAACATTATGTGAATGGTTTATTGTAGTAACAGGTTGTTTGTAACTGAGTCCGAGTTCTCAACTTTACTTCTGCACAAACATTCTATAGTTTATGTGGAAGTTCTTAGGAATTCCTACATATTGTTGAACTTCTGTTTTTGTTTACTTCTTTCTTGAGGGTTTTGGGCAAGCGGATCATAGCATCACAGTGGAGAAGTTAAAAAGCAGATACCCAAACTACGCAAGTATTACATTCACCAATGAAGGATACTAATGTTGACCTTGATTGGTGTAGCCTAAGCTTGCTGATTTAGTGGATGGAGGAGGGGACCGGGGGCCTGGGGGTTGAAGTTGTAGATGAGGGAGTGGCTTGATGTAAGATATTGGAGAGAAGCATCTCAGGCTGATATCATCGGATGGATGGAGAAGACCGCTACTTCCGTTATTTTCAATCTCATTTGATCTCTCCCAGTGAGCAGAGTTGAAGTGTTTAGCATCTGTTTCTGTTATTTTAATTTAGTTACAATGAATGCGCAAAATGTTTATTCAAGCCTATGTCGTTGATACAAAGCTCTTGCCCTCTGAAGATGCGCGAACAAATAACCTCTTCTTATATACCGATACAAGGGTTGGATCCCAAGTTCAAAAATGGAGATGGGTATCAAACCTTCCTATCTCTTCTGGCCGAGTACATATTTATTGCTAAAGTGTAAAAAAAAAAATTAGTATCATAGCAAGATCCATTACCAAAAGCTGTCTTCTGCATCATGAGTCAATTTTGATGATAAAGAAGGAATATTTGTTAACAATCTTGTGTGTAAGACGTACATGTAAAATGGACACATTTTCTTGTAACATTTTCATAAATATAAAAATCCCTTTCTCTTAACCCCTTTGCGACAAAAGCCGGCAAGAGCCACTCCATTGTGTGAGGATTAGTGCATACCATACATGCAGTCTAGTCACCATGCAGCTGCTGGTTCAATGTGGGCCTGCTGCTGTGCAGAGCCCTGCATACTGGGCATACCACAGCCTAGCAGTCGCAGTCAAAATAATCCTGCCGCGAAGGGGTTTTAAAGTGACTGTTTTTCCTCAGAATATGTGCCAACCTTTAAGGTTTACTTCTGAAAGTTAGTACCAAATAATAATCTGTGAAAATTCTGTGTTTTCACAAGTAGAAGATGTCATTTTGTTAATATAATAAAAAGATGGACTAAAACATCCGAAAATTGATTTAAAAATTTGAAATTTTTGTTAGAGGTGTTGCACACGATGTACATGTACATCCATTAGGAACATGACTTGCAAAAGTTAAAAGTTTGATGTTTGATCAGTTGATGTTTCAGCAAGTCTGGACATTCCAGCAGCTTTGGGGGCACAGATGAAATTTGATACAATAATCTAATTATTTATTTCTCTCTGGGTTTTGTCACGGGTTTTGTCACGGTTTGCATAGTAAACATTACATTTAATGCTAGCAAGACTAATCACAGCCTATTAAAATTCCAAAAATGAAATATTCTGGTTAAATGTTAAATTCTGGTCCAAAACCCTCAGGTCAGTTCTTAATTAGTGTCACTAACATGCTCTAAATTCTACTTATAATCACAATAACAAATTCTAAGAATAAAGACTATGCAGATGTGTTTCTTTAAAAATGAGGATTAAATGGCAAGTATAATTCAACTATAAATTTCAACAATCTTAAATTCTGTCCCCTTAGAGTGAACAAAAACAAGATTGGGGATGTTTGTCTCAACTCAGAGATCATTGAAGGCATTTAGGTACACGGCTCATATTCAGCCACACAATCATAGAAGGTCTTGTGGACGTCTGGATGCTCAAAACAGACTGCGCCGCCACCACGATACATTTGAGAGGTCTGTCAACAAGAAAAATAAACAGGTGTCAATAAGAGTTATCAAGAAAGGAACCTGTGATACTGTTGGTGAGAGAAAGTAACATCTTAAACAGCATTTATATGGGATGTGAATGACCTGAGGTCAGCCAAGTCAAGGTAGATGAGACAATGTTATGGCAGACATACCTGACGATTAATACCTCCAAAACAAGCCCACTGCAGGCCAGACTTGGTAGTCACTGCCCACTTGGAGTGATCTTTGGTGCCCTTGAAATCGCTTCCACCTTTCAGACTAACTTTCTTGACATTGTAGACATTAAGGCCTGCTTCACAAGAAGAGTTGAGATTGCGTCCCCCATTCTGCCATGTTTCACAGTACAGGCCACTCTTGAAGTAATGAGCAAGCCAATCTTTATACAGATCTGAGAAAGAAAAGCAACAATGTGTATCAACAAACATGATATGAGGCATTGATAAGTGAAGAAAAGATAAAAAACACATCGGAGAATGAGATGTGGTTTCAAACAAAAGTTCAAAATTCTTCATTTGAGGTGTTCAGTTGATGTTTCTTGCTAGCAATTCAAGGACCATTGCATAATATCCTCCCTCTTGTGTGGGAAGTAGGTTAACATGTTTGCAACCTGAAGGTACAGTATAGTAGACAAGGTCAAGAAAGCTGTAGAAAAAGGGTGTTTATTTCATGACTTTTTGATGAACTTGGTCCAAATTCACGTCCAAATTTACTGCTGACTTGAGCTAAAAACAGCTACCGGAAATTTGGTTCCTTCGTGAATGTCTACTAAACTTTATTTACGTCCCCAAAGGAGAACTACACTCACCTAGACTCCATTTGCTGGCTTTGTTAAAGCTGATAAATATCTTCCCGTCTTTGGACTGCAGAGACAATTCTCGATTCCATGGAGCAACTGTTACATGTACACCGTTAATCACATCCTTGATGCTGGGGTTATCGCCAGCCAGGCTAGAGGGGAGCTGAGAGTCATAGACCCCAGGATAGTTGTATTTCAACTGCTGACCTGGTGTAAAAGAGGTTTTAAA